ACATTGTAAGTTGTAACCAATATGTTTTTTGAAGACCGTGGTATAGATTTTAGTGTCTAGTTCTGCAAGGGATACGCGCCTGAAAGGTGCTCCCAGCATTATTAGGAATTCCCACTTATTACCACCCTCTGAACGGAAAAAAAGGCTATTTCCAACGCTTTGACCGCTTTCCAAAACCAAACTTTCGGTGCAGACGTGACAAAAAATAAATTTCTATAATATGTAATATGTATAATAGCAGTATAAAATATATCATGCGACATACTTAGCAATTAAAGTTGGAGAATCGTTCTTTCCTCAGAATCGTTTTATGTATGCAATGATTTATCATTAAATTTAAATTTAACAAATACCTACGTTACATTGACAATAATATATGTTTTTGATTTTAAATTTATATGACTACACATTTTTTTTATGTTTCGTCAATAATCGTTTTAACTGGACTTCCCTCTCGCCTCTTTTTTTTAAAAATAATTTACCGTCTAATGTCTATATGCATTGATTATATTTTCGAAAATTATTTAAAAAAAATATATACCTACGCTACAAAAACGAATACAATTATAATTATGCTAAAATATGCTAAATACGCAGAAAACATCAAAATATGCAATTATATGCAAAATTAAATTGGAAGACAATTTTTTTTGTTGCCTAGCATTTAATACAATGATTGGTGAGATCACTATGCAATTGCACGAGACTACGAGCTCCATTTATATTATAATATATTGATAGGTTGTCCATTCATATTAACTTTTGATTTTGAAATCGCAATTTATATTTTCAACGGTCTAGAATACTTTTATAAAACTGTTGATGTAGGTATAAACTATAAGATGTATATCATGTATACATTTATCCATTTTTATTAAAAGGTACAAGAACCATTTAAAGTTTGAACGAGCCTAATATTTTGCTCACAGCATAATATATACCTTTCACCTATAGTTATATTGACGATTTACATCCATTCATAAACGGTTGTCATACACGCACATATTACAATTAAAATATGTACTAGGTACAATATGACATATTATTATAATATAGTGCGACCATAATCGCGCTGTTCTGCAGCAGACATGACAAAGCACATATTATGATAAACCTGTTGACCTGCCGACGCCGACGACCTCATCGACACTGCGTCGGTTCCCGCGGGACATTTCCCGCATCAGACAATACGCCATTTTGTCGTCACGATTCTCATCATTGTGGTGGTTTGTAAACAAGCTCATTGCAAAAATAACAAAATCAGCAGTGGGTCCTCGACCGGTGGCGGTGGTGTGAAATCTTCTATACTCGACAGCTGCTGTTGCCCCCAAAAAGCGGTGAGAGACGCGCGTACCACCTACCACCCCGAGAGCCGTACAATAACGCAAAAGAAATGCGCGACGAAATTTGTCCGACGAATATTATTATTGTGTCGTCGTCGACGTTCGAGCACAGGTGCAGGACTCGTCGTTTATTATGTTTAATATAATAATAATGATAATATTATATTATATACATGATTTTTTTGTGGCGATTTAAGGTATATCGAAAAATATTGTGCTCGTATGTGAATTTGGGGAGGGGGATCGCGTCGGCATCCCCGCGTTGCGGTCCCTCCTGTATGTGTAGGTACACTACCTATACAGTAATACACTATACACACACACACGCCTATATAATAATAATAATATAATGTATTATGTTCGCCGTGTGCCAAACCAAAGGACGCTATTGTATTATTGGCACTAGCCGCGGAAAAAGAATCGTAAATTCGCACTTGAATTTATTATTATTATATCAACTTGACATCGCGGTGTAAAGGCTCATTCGTCCGTGCGAATATTATTACTGCACATTATAATATTATAAATGCCACAACAACAACGATCGTGTGCATTCTTATCGTTGAACCGTGTATAAGTTTATATTATGTAGCTACCGGGTTTTCATAATATTTTATAACTATATACAGCACCTATATTCATTCATTATTCTGTATTCACTATATACATCGTCGGACCGAAAATATAAGAGACTATAACATATTATTATTATGATAAAATGTGCTCATACCTCGTCGAAATACCGTTATAGTAAACCGCAAAAACTAAACGCGAATTGCCGAGTACTAAATATTGTGTTTTGACTTTTTGAGAATTGGTACCTACCTACCTGTAATTCAATATAACAATATAGATTATAGGTGCAGATGAATCGCAGTTTTACAACCAGTGGGTATTTCTGGAATGAGTAAATTATATTTTGGAAACCGAAGCTGAATGTGAATATATTAATCTATAACGATCAACTTTATAGAGTTTAAACTGTTGCGCATATTCTATCAAGGGATTAGAAGTGTTGATTTTCTGTCTTCATCTAACATACGCATTAGTGTGCAGTGAGACACATTTTGTGCAGTGAAAAGTGTTACTTTGTGCAGTGCAAAAAACAAATTTCAGGATGATATATTTTATTGTATATTATAAAACAATAATTGAGTATACTTCAAAATAAAAAAAACTATTAATTGTTAATTTTAATTGTTTTTATTCATTATTATATTATTTTTTTTTTTAAAACAAAATTAAATATCTACCATCTTTAAGCATATGCTTGAGGTGGTGATACAGAGTTCTATAACATAATATGAACAATTTAATTATAAATAAATAAGTTTGTAGTAAGAAAAAAATATTTAAAAAAAACCCTGATACGCAGAATATACGAATTCAGACGTGTTTTAATTCAAACGTACCGGTTGATATAGTGAAGGGATAATATATTAAAAAAAAAACAGATTTTCAGTTTTAATCAAGACTACTTGGGATTGAATTTCCAACATTTTTGATTTTATCCACATAAATTCTAAAAAAGTCTTTATAAAAAATGGAATATATCAAATTTTGAAGAAGTTAAAATCAAAAGTCGTTTTCAAGTAGAACTTGAGTCAAATTCAAATTTGTTTTCAGAATTCTTATCGCTTTACTAGATCAGTTAGTACGTTGGAATGGAAACGCTCCTATAACACTTTTATAGGTTATGTTCCACGAGAGGAAGGCAGAAAATCGTCGCTTCAAATCCCCTTAAATAATAATATTGTAGGTGCATTATAATTATATAGATTTGGCGTGGAAATATTTTTTGTTAAAATTTGTAGATATTTTAGTGTTTCTTTTTTTTACCTATTCCAACTGAATTTAAAATTCAATTTTATACAAGTAATATATTTTAATTAAGATATTATATTTTTTAATGGTTTGTCTACCTATTTATTATTAATTACCACTTGCCAGACATACTATAGAAAATAAAAACTATATTTTTCATCCTAAATAAAAATATAACTTATTATTGCATGAGTTATTTACTAATTTACTTATTAAGAAACTGAAGAACAAATCTACAAATCACTTGAAAATCAATGAATTATTATAATACTTTTGATGATTTTCCTATAATTTAATTTTCGTAGTCTATACTTTTACGTCTTTTTCACAGTTTAAAAGCATCAAGCTTTCAAGCAGATTATATATAATGTTGAGCAAAAACGTCATTTCAATATTTTCACTCGGAAAATGAATGTATATTTAAGTTGTAAGTAAGTATAGGTATGTACAGTTTCAAAATGGCCATAACTTATTTAAAAATTATAATATCAATTAAAGCCTAGATAATACCCTAAAATTACCATTACATTTTATAATGTCAAGTCACTCTAATATCAAAACTAACAGCACACTATTGAAACTGATAACCAAAATTTGGTATGTCGTAAGTGTGTGATACGTCGTCCTCTTAATATTATATTATTATTAATTAGGTATGCTTTGTAAACAATGTGTAATGTGTATAGGTATAAGTGTAACTTGTTGACGTGTTATATACCTATGTATTGTAGTATTGAACATTACAGCTGCATTCCAATTTCCAATTATTGATTGATGCGATTATTATTATTATTACTATTTAATATAATCATACTTATATAAATTGTACGGGTAATAATGTAATATTGAAACACGGTTGTGGTGTAGGCTAGCTAGACGAGGCATCAGATTCATAACCATTTGACATTCTTGCGATGTGTATAATAATTATACACAATAATATTATTATTATTATAATGCCGGAGTGAGTGTAATTTGATGATACACTGCGATAACTGTATTATTTAATATGAATACTAAAGAGGGTTCCAATATATCGAATTATGTAATCGCAAAACAATTGTTCATTTACAGCGTTAGTTATAACTGATTATCACCATATGTGTATCACAAATTGTCTAAACGCATAAATATTGTCTAATTGTAGAAAGAATAGCTTTTTTTAATAAATTATAATATATAACTAAAAATCAATTCGCAAAATAGATACCTATAACATATGCTACCCTTGAACCCTCCAGTGTGCGCCACTGAAAGTACCTATAACATTTCTAAACAGTCTTAGATAATATTGTAAAAACTTATTAGTTTTAGGTAAAAAGTAAGAGCATTTTAAAATTAAAATAATAAAATGGCAATTATTGTTTTGGGTTTAATAATTTAAAGAACGGAAACTAGTTTCGAGGATTTTTCCACACCTAGTCTATTTCTTAATGTGATGTGGACAATTCCAAATGAAGAAATTCAGTTATTAGTTACGTAATTATCTAGTAATGTAATTACAATTAAAAAGTATCTTGTTAAAATGTGTATTTTACTTTGAATAAAAGATATACATTTAAAAGTTGAACGCCATGTATTAATATTTAATACAGTCGAACTTTGAACTTCAACTTTGAGTTTAAAACTCCGACTGTATTTTTAAATAATGTATTGGAAAATTGTCAGAAGGACAAGACCTATATTCCACGGAGCGCAATCGTGTTGTGTTTTTTGCAACAGGTGAAATGGTGGGACGGGGGAAATCGTGTTTCAGCGTACAACTAATAAACCAGTATCTAATCTTGTAAGTTGTAACTAGGTAGGTTCACAATTTTAGTGGTTGGCAGAGTCCTACCCCCACCTCCACGTGGTGCCGACTGGAAACGGAATTCCGGTTCCGGCCAACGGGGGAGGCACAGAAGGCAAACTGTATAAAACATTAAAACCGAACACCAGCGGGTCAACACCAGTGACCAGAGAGGGCCAACATCGCACTCCAACCACCGACAACAGACTGAAGGCTGCGAGCTCCGGGGCATTAGTAAGACACCCACAGCACGATTGATCGGGAAGGGCTCTCGGGTCGGTCAACCGCGTGCAACCGACGAACCGAGCAGTACGCAGCACGAACATCAGACGGAGGAAACAGAAAACAACGGGCAGAAGGAAAACTAGGAAAACGAGTAGACCACGCACTCCACAACATCGGAAGGAGAAGACGTGAGGTACGAGAGTAGATGAAGGTTGGCTATCAAGCCGGGCCGAGAAAACGACAGAACGAGAAGACAAGACTGGCGGGCAGCGAAGCCGGGTCGAGAATTCTACAAACGCAGACAGCAGGCCTTCAGCCAACAATGTATTTTTTTTCTCAACATGTCAAATTAATTTAGATGTGCGCCCTTAGAGGACAAAGAACATAGGTGTCAAAATATTATTCATAAATTGTATTTCATTGAATGTATAATAAACGTTGGCTAAGCTAACCTAACCTAACCTAACCGAAACTCATATAACCCGAATGGTTCTGTTTTCAAAACACCCGAATTAACCAAAACCCGAATTATTTTATTTTTTACAATCTTCATGTGAAATATGGTTTTGTATGTATTTCTTGGGGTGAGTTCGATTCTGTGGTTATTTGTTTTATAATAATAAATTAACAGGAACAATTTTACAATCAATCATAGGTAAATTTAATAATTATTTTCTTGAAAATAAATACCAATACAATTAATTGATTCTGAATAAGCCAAATGGCCTAATACTAAATTATTTCTTATACCTACCTTATATATTATATAATGTATTACTTTATTAGTATCTAAATGAATCCAAATATAGCCAATAGTGATATAAAATGTAGACATGGTCTCAACAAAACTGAACAACGTATTGACCAAAATACCAAATACTAATGACTAATGAGTAATAATACCTATAGTTAATACCTTTAAATAAATAAAAAATATGCTTTTCTCACCCTAGATCTGGCCTTTAAAGTTTAAACCTTTTATAAATCCCAAGCACACCCTACTTTGGTCAATATCATATAATAATATTATAATAGTCAAGGTAAATTTCATATAAAAATGTGCGTTTATCCTCCTCACGACTCGCATTCCAGTTTCTTCTCCTCATGTGCATTTTCGTCTACTTCAGCATGGTCGCCATGGGCATCCCCATAGTCATCATCATCGTCATCGTCGTCGTCGTCGTCGTCGTCATAACCGGGTATGGGAGTTTCCTTAACCGTTTCCCGGTGATAATCAGTTATCGGCACGGCGTTGTCGTCAAGTATGTCTGCCGTCCACGTGGTCGGCTCCACTCCATGTTGCGATTCTTTATCGCCATCCTTGGCCACCTCTAGATCTTTGGCGGTGGTTACGTCCACGGTGGGGTTTACATAATCGGTGTCCTTGGTGGGTTCATTCGTCTCCAACGCACTCAGGGCTGCAGTCCCGTCGGCCAGCGGTGGCCTAATATCGTCGGCCGATGGCATTTCGTATTTATTCTCGTCAATGTAGTTTTCGAATTTCTTCGCAACAACTTTCTCAGGTTTAAGGTGCACTTCAAACAACTTTTTCCGAAATCTCTGAAATTCCTTTTGAGTTCTGAGAATTTCCGAGTCCCGATTCATCTGAAACTCCATCTTATATGTACGTCTTCCGCGATAGAGTAGGTAGTTCTAGAAATATTCCCAAATATTATTATATGTTATAATATTAACGTATATTAAGTATAATATATAGTATACAGCTCGTGAGGATGGTTGCCATAGCGTTATTTCACAGATTATAAAAATAGTAATAAAAAGTGAAATATCCTGAAGATATACATAAATATAATATGTATAGTGGCAAATACTAAAGTAGATTGGCTTACGTCTTGGTGATATGTAGGAGGTATCTATAGTTCTGATGAGATATGACACCGATAAAACGGACCTTTAGTTTCCTTATATCTAACAGTTATAATGTTTAAATTTACATTAGACTGATAAGAAATGTGGATAACAAAATAATAATAAATAAAATAATGAATAGTTATAATAATGAATAGGTGTTGCTTAGGTACGTGAAAAAATCAACAAATTATCATATCAATATCACAATATTTGTAAGTTTTTTACTGTTGTATTTCGCCCAAACGCATGACGCCCTATGCTAATAGTATATTATGACACATTGACATAATGTTCAATGTTTAACCATTTTCCTTCCATACCAATGATTTTATAAAATCAATTCGCTTGATGACAAAATTAATTGCATAAGTTTTTATTTATTTATTTAAAAAAAAAGTATTTTTTGCTGTTAAAAACAAATCTTTTAAACGTTTATACCTAACAATAAACAATTTCTTTTTTATTAATTTAAATCACGTTTTAAATATTTGTTTTAAACATGTCAACCCGTATGATTATTTAATATTTTAGTGTTTTTAGCATGTAGGTACTATGTAAGCGGAGGCAATATATACGGACGTGGGACTTATTTTAAAAGCTTAAATACAACGTAAACATGGTAAACTTATAATTTATTCATGGCTTTAGTATGACTTAGTTGTTGGCCCTAGAAGTTTTAAGTAGGTGTACATTGTACATAATATATGTACACACTACACATATTAAAGAAGTTGTTGATAGGTATACATGCAGTCATAGGCGCAACTAGGGTCCAAAATCTGAGGGGGCTAAAAATATTTACAAGTGTCATGTGTAATCAAAAAATGTTCTACCCCTGAGGATATCCCCATGAGGATATCATTATAATAAATTACATAAGTACAAACCCATAACACATAACATATTAATAGTATCATTACCTATTTTATATTAAAGTAACACGCCTATCATTTTGTGAAAATTTATCAAAAATGAGCTGAGTGTCGATTAAATTAGCAATGTCTCTTTCTATACATAAAATAGATAAATAACTAAATCATTCTTGTCCCATACATCATAGGCGCAACTAGGGGGGTGCTTGGGGGTGATTCAGCACCCCCAGTTCAAAAACATCAAAAATTGAAAAATCATATGAAAAAAATAGTTTTTTTAGCTTTAGGTACTTAATATTTTTTTTTATTTCTTTGTTTTTAACAGAAACACAAATTATTGTTTGTAATGATTATAGGTATATCAAATATTAGAATTTAGAATTCTTCAAATTTTTTTTTAAATTTTCAGTTAAAAATGTATATAAGTTTTTAACTTTCATAGCTAACATTATAAATGTTGATAAAAGACTCCTCACAATTGGTACTATCTTAAACAAAAAAATAGTTTACTGGAAAGTAACATACATTTTTTATGAGTGTTTGAATCTAAAATGTGTACAACATTCAATTTTCAATTTTTATCAGTAAATTAAAGAATTTTCATCTATCAATTTTTGATATTTTGTCGTAATTTAAAAACGAATAATCCTAGATACTTGAAATTTTTATAATAATTTTAATAAGCTTCAAGTAAAATCGTATAAAAACTGGGGGAGCTAAGCCCCCCCCCAATTGCGCCTATGCATGCAGTGTTCGATGTGTTTGGTAATACAACAGTAAAAAACTTACAAATATTGTGATATTGATATGATAATTTGTTGATTTTTTCACGTACCTAAGCAACACCTATTCATTATTATAACTATTCATTATTTTATTTATTATTATTTTGTTATCCACATTTCTTATCAGTCTAATGTAAATTTAAACATTATAACTGTTAGATATAAGGAAACTAAAGGTCCGTTTTATCGGTGTCATATCTCATCAGAACTATAGATACCTCCTACATATCACCAAGACGTAAGCCAATCTACTTTAGTATTTGCCACTATACATATTATATTTATGTATATCTTCAGGATATTTCACTTTTTATTACTATTTTTATAATCTGTGAAATAACGCTATGGCAACCATCCTCACGAGCTGTATACTATATATTATACTTAATATACGTTAATATTATAACATATAATAATATTTGGGAATATTTCTAGAACTACCTACTCTATCGCGGAAGACGTACATATAAGATGGAGTTTCAGATGAATCGGGACTCGGAAATTCTCAGAACTCAAAAGGAATTTCAGAGATTTCGGAAAAAGTTGTTTGAAGTGCACCTTAAACCTGAGAAAGTTGTTGCGAAGAAATTCGAAAACTACATTGACGAGAATAAATACGAAATGCCATCGGCCGACGATATTAGGCCACCGCTGGCCGACGGGACTGCAGCCCTGAGTGCGTTGGAGACGAATGAACCCACCAAGGACACCGATTATGTAAACCCCACCGTGGACGTAACCACCGCCAAAGATCTAGAGGTGGCCAAGGATGGCGATAAAGAATCGCAACATGGAGTGGAGCCGACCACGTGGACGGCAGACATACTTGACGACAACGCCGTGCCGATAACTGATTATCACCGGGAAACGGTTAAGGAAACTCCCATACCCGGTTATGACGACGACGACGACGACGACGATGACGATGATGATGACTATGGGGATGCCCATGGCGACCATGCTGAAGTAGACGAAAATGCACATGAGGAGAAGAAACTGGAATGCGAGTCGTGAGGAGGATAAACGCACATTTTTATATGAAATTTACCTTGACTATTATAATATTATTATATGATATTGACCAAAGTAGGGTGTGCTTGGGATTTATAAAAGGTTTAAACTTTAAAGGCCAGATCTAGGGTGAGAAAAGCATATTTTTTATTTATTTAAAGGTATTAACTATAGGTATTATTACTCATTAGTCATTAGTATTTGGTATTTTGGTCAATACGTTGTTCAGTTTTGTTGAGACCATGCCTACATTTTATATCACTATTGGCTATATTTGGATTCATTTAGATACTAATAAAGTAATACATTATATATATATTAAGGTAGGTATAAGAAATAATTTAGTATTAGGCCATTTGGCTTATTCAGAATCAATTAATTGTATTGGTATTTATTTTCAAGAAAATAATTATTCAATTTACCTATGATTGATTGTAAAATTGTTCCTGTTAATTTATTATTATAAAACAAATAACCACAGAATCGAACTCACCCCAAGAAATACATACAAAACCATATATCACATGAAGATTTTAAAAAATAAAATAATTCGGGTTTTGGTTAATTCGGGTGTTTTGAAAACAGAACCATTCGGGTTATATGAGTTTCGGGTGTTTGATTTTTTAAGGGTTTTTAGAGGTTCCGGTTAATTCAGATTAACATGAAATTATTTTACGAAAGCCGTCAATATTGAATAATATATATTTTCATATTTTCAATATAAAGTTCAATATAAGTTAATATAATATATTTTGTACGTCAATGAACTTGCCCCACCACGTCGATTGATTATTTTTCTTGCAAATTACTGATATCTAATTAGTGATATTTTTGTTATATTTTGTTTTTATTTTATGTCACAAAACTCAAAAAAATTTAAATTTAATCATACAAAGTAAGCCAACTATACCCTGTCCTCCCCTATACACGATGTACATATTTTATAATTCAGTAACAGTAAATGAATAGTTAGAAAAAATGTAGTGACAATACTAGACGTGACCGTTTCACACCGTCGACAGTGTTTCAGATTATGAACACGGTGGAACTAGTCCTCGGAAAATGCCGTCCCCCGACTACAGCCACGACGATAATGACCCGTTTGTCTTATCACGGTTCATCGGAACGTCAGAGTTGACCGTCTACGAAGCTTTCGGGGTGGCGTGCGTGTTGGGCATATGGGTCGACCGTATCGGCTTGATGGACGCGATGGACGGGACGGGAACGCTGCGTGACTTAAACGGTCATCCACCCTCAACCACCACTGACGACGAGAAGCCAGATACCACGTCGGACCGCGGTAAGGTTACCAAGTTGCTGGCGTTCGTGCGGGACACTCTCCAGCTGACAGTCCAGGAGCTGTGGTCGAGTGGGACGTACGACAAGCTTCGCCTGGTAAATAACACGATGCTGAGGGCGGTGAGCGAAGAACGACAGCTAAAAGCGGATTTGGCGTACAACCAGAACTCGTTGAGCGTTTTGCGGGTCACGATAAAAGAAAGGAAGAAACATTATAACGTAATTATTTAAAATTTAAAATATAAATTAATATTATTGTAAGTATACGTGTTTTAAACTCTCCTAACCACTAGTATTTTAACATGAATACCCAATATCCCCCCCCCCTCCCCAATAAATAACAATTTTGACGAAGTACTTTCACTCGGAAGTCTCATAAGTCGTAACTCTGAACTTCCGACCGTTATTATTGTATATAATACCTATATTTTTATAAGTGCTGTCTGGTAACAAATATAACCTAAATAAAAAAAATACATTTTTGAAATGTTGGGGCTGTTTGTACCTTGCTGTAAAGTAGGTTACAAGTGGGTCACTGTAATGGATGGTGCTACATTTAAATTAAATTATATAAAATCAGTGTAGGGATACCGTATACGAAAAACAATTCTAAGCGAAAACTGTCTGTTGGTCTTGTACTCTTGTCAGGTCAAAAAGCGTGAACATTTTAATAGGTAAATAAATTTCTTTATTCATAATAATATCATCAAATATACTTACCTAATAATATATCATAGACTGACTGAATTGACTGATTCTTCGCTCAAAATCGTTTTTT